ATGCCACGACGACGACGATGACGACGATGACGACGACGAGAACGGCGGAGAGGCGGAGGCGCGAGATGGAAGCGAAACATTTTATTCGCTCCGCACACAGCGCGACTCGTTATCGGGCGAACTCGCCCGATTTTCCAAACCGCGCCGAACCGCGCGAGTGTCTCCCTCGCTAAGGTCGACGGTGCAACCGCGAGGAGTCAAGACATCTCGCGACGGGTTATTCATAAATCGCGACCAGATGTTGAGATAATAGGCGCTTAGAGCGTTACACACGAGAAGTCAGGCACAGAACTCAGGCTCGCGAGCAAAACTAGCGAATGGAGAAGGGAGAGGGAGGGCTTTCATATCAGCGAGTTCTGATGAAACTTTGCTTGGTGCCGCGGGAATACGGAATTTCTTAACTACCGCGCAATCGCGCAAGATACAACCGTGAGAAGCAGATTGCATCTGCATCTCGCCGGGTATTAAATGTCAACGCCGATGTTTCCGCCTGGACGAAGTTCGCACTCGCGACCTGCCTGTTAGATACGTTAGTCACATTTTCGAACGCTCCACGTTGTCTTGGATATCTTAGACAGATGAGTTACTTTAGATGCTTTAACCCTTTAACGCCTACTGGTAACTATAGTTACCAGAAACGTATTTAAGAATCTATAACTTCGTGAAAAAAGGAGATATTGTCGTTTTCTTTGCACCTGCACTGTAAAGATGAATTCTTCTTCTAAAAGATGGTATATAGATTGTATGTAGATTCGGTTTAGTTTGTTTTTAAAGCTCAGTTTTAACGATAACATGTTTTGTCAAATTCCAAGTAGGCATAGTTAGCATTGTCACTGACATCTAGACGTGCGCTATAAATGAATAGATTGGTAATCTGTTATAATTTTATACATTTGGAAGCTTTCTCAGATGCAAAATGTGAAATTGAAAGAATACAGAAATTCAAAATGGTGAATCCAATATGGTGGGCACGAAAATCGCATTTTTTATGCGGCGAAAAATGAAGGGACGATTGACTATCTAAATGCTGATCTATAAGATATTCTTCTGAAATAGCAAGCTTGACGCTCTGAATGATAAACTTCACTCACAAATATAGTAAAGTTTCAGCTGAAAACTGTCAAGCTGACTATCACAGTTGTGTCGTATAGATCACCCTTCATTTTTCTCTGTATAGGCTGCTCATTTCGTATATATGCTTTTAGGATCCAAGTCATATTTACCAATAAACAGAAAACGAACGATAAAAAGAAACCAATATAAAATTCTGATATCTTTTTTGGTTATCACTACTTATAGTCTCAGTTAGAAAAAACTCAAATTTCTTAGACACTTCTTTCTCAAAACACTTATAAAAAAGTCGGGCGTTAAAGGGTTAAATACTTCAGTTCTTCGTTGCACGCGATAGCTCACGGCTGCAGATAATTTTCATTCTCGCCAGCGGCAACGAGGTACCGCTAATCACCTCGAAAATCTCGTTTCAATCGTCTTATTAGTCGGAAGAAGCGTTACTTCTGCGACAAAAGACACTGTAAAAATAACAATGTTCTCGCGTTTTTATCTCTTCGATAGATAACTTCTCGAGTCGAGTCTGCCTCTAGTCAATCCTTGAAACGGCCATGAAAAACGGCGGGTCGCGCGCGCGTCGAGAAGGTTATTTTATGCGTTTCATGTGTCTACGTGACACAATTTTTTCTAGCGTATGACGGCTCTTCAAATGCTCGGCACGCTCGCGCGAGGATCGCCGCGAGCACGTGCTGCAGTCCCGCGAAATTGTACTGCGCACGCGCGCGCGGGAGCGGTGGTCACGTGATCGGAGCGACCGCGTGGCCGAGCGGTCAGCTGATTCGGCGCGGGAGTGGGGGCAAGGCCGCACGTCACATTACGACCGTGCACGTAAAGCCCGTTCTACATTAGTTAGCAATTGCAAGATCGCAAAGAAATTGACCAATCAACTTTTCTTTGATCGCGAGGGAAATACTGAACTGTCATTGATTAATTTTCTTGCGATCTTGCGATTGCGACTAATGTAGAACAGGGGTAACGGACCTGCCTTCCACGCTACGCTGCAGACTCAGCTGATTCAATTTTGTCAGCCGAGATCGAGAATGCGGTTCGATATGGATGTCGATATTTCCTAGAAGGCGTAAACAACGACTTGAAACAAAAAGCGTTTGGAGAGCTGGCGCTTTCGTACTTCTGACAAACGCATATGTGACTTTTTTTTCACACAATATTAATTAATAATGGACGAAAGATAAAACCGTCGCATCGTAAAAACATTTATTATTATCAATCGCCTCGTATCAATTCGCAACGATGGTTAGTCTAGGACGGAAGTTGGAAAAATGTCGATTTTTATATTGAAACATGAACGGAGACGGAATAACGTCACCTCGTTGTCAAACCGCCTTTGAGAAGACATCATCGAGACTCCAGAGACGAGTAAGAGGCAAACGAGTACTTTGCTCATTAATAGAAGATAACTGAAAGATAACCCGCCTCAACGGGGGACTTTCCCCGTCTCGTAGGAAGTCGAGCTTAGGGTTGCCAAATCCAAAAGTTAAAATTACCGGACATTTCTTCTTGACAAACCCAAAGCGGACTAAACCGCACTGAAATAATAATCATAACGTTACATTAAATACAAAATATGGTAAGAATTTATTTACAATATTAATTTTCAAACAATTTTATAAACAAGATTTGATTGAATAAAATAATAAACTATTACTTTTTTAATATATATGGAATGATGGATCGGCAAATCATCTACTAGATGACTTTTCGTGGCGTTCGATCGTTTGTAGGCGCTTGAAACGGAGAAACGTTGCTAAAATCTGAACTCTCATTCCATCGATTGGATATAACTTAAAAACCGGACATATGACGTCCGGTTTGACTTGTTAACCGGGCACTGGACAAGACTTCTGGAAACCTGACAGTCCGGGTCAAAACCGGGCGCTTGGCAACCCTACACTAGGAAAAAAAATTTAGTATCTCTAACAAAACTGTTCTTAGACTTTATATATAAAACTTAAGCATTTTAGTAATTTCATACATAAAAATTACATAATAACGAAGTATTATTTTACATAAACTAAAATAATACCCAATGGACACTCTTTTGTCTTTCTGTGCACTGAAATTTAGATTTTATGTATTAAGAAAAAATTATAGTATTTTTAACAAAATTCATTTAGTTAAAGCTTTTTGGTTGCTATGACAAAAGTATTATGTTACACGAACAAACCGTCAATCAAACAAAACATTTGTTCGCAGAAACTAAGTAGTTTTGTTGGGCATATTTTAACCAAATTATTTTGTTGTTACAACAAAATTTTCGTCCACGCAACAATACATTTTTCCTAGTGTAGTCAAGCTTCCGATATACGTAAATGGACACCGTTCTAAAGCGAAATCGCGACACACGGTTATCGCGTCGATACCTCCCTCTCGGCACGGGTTTCGTAATTAATTGTTGGAGCATCACGTTGAGAATGGCGCGCGAGCGCGCTATTTCAAGATGAAACATCACAAACGGCAAACTTCGAGTATCGACGGCGGACGAGGTGATTCATTCTTTGAAGCGACGCAACAGCGGCTGAAAAGTAGCGCGCGTTGGGCGCATCGAAGGATGCCGCTCCCCCCTTCTCCTCTCCTCATGGCAAATCATAGCCGCCCTGGGAAGACTTTGATCAGTGATGCGGTGCGAAACCACCTCACAAAGCACGACGTTAGACAAAGCCCGAGATTTTATCCGGCGTATTCGGGTCAGATGTCGAATAACCATTCGCTGGTTGGATACGGCGCGTCATATACCTTTAGCGAACCGTATTAAATTACCGGCAAACACACACACACACATAGCCCACCCTAGGCTGGGAATATCTAAAGCGCGCTGCGCTTACAAAACGGAAGTCGATGCGACGGGAGAGGGGGGGAGGGGGCAGTTCTCCCGGAGGATTTCGAGCTTCGCCTCGAATTCGCGCGACTGTACAGCGTCACTTCGTCAAACCGGACGCACTTGTGCTCGGCTGCACTTTATTGCAATATTAAAAATTGAGATTCTCCCACTTTGCGCTCCTCCTAGATTCTTCGTTTCATAAGTCGACGATAAAGAATATTCTTCTACCGCGACAATCTTATTTCCCGTCCATCGTCGATTAGTCCTCTCTGCGTGAAAGAAAATCGCACGCGCGTTTATCGCGAAGTTGCGCCGCAACAATTGAACGTGTCGCGATTTTCTGGTATCTCGAAACGAGAGGCGTTCTTCTTCTCATCGTTTTGGGATCTAATGATGAGCGAGCGCGGATGCGTTCTTTTTCTTTTGCCGCTGTTTGTGAGCCGCGAAGACCGTTCTGCCAAGTGTCTGTGTCAATTGTAGTAGTCGATGCACTGTTACGTGATCGGTGATTTGAGCGGAGCTGAAAATGCGCATTCTCGATCGGCCGGCTGGCTGGCAGAATGTAGGAGAAACGCGATTTAACACCTCGGCGAGATTGTCGTCGCCTCATTTGTCGAGCGTATTTCGTTCTCCCGCGCTTTTATCTCGCGACTGCCAGCTGAAAATCCGGTATTTCACAGCATCACTACATCAGCCCGCCGCCGGCTAATCTTTTCCCTTTTCCGCGCTTCCGGCAAATTTCCAATTTCACCGGTCGACTTGAGCTCGCGCGAACGATATTCCACACGTGTGTCGGCGTCGTGCCGGCGCAATTGCGACAGGCGGCGGCATTGTGTGGCGTCCGATCTCTCGGCGCGTCGTCGTCGTCGTCGTCTCGCTTTGAGAACGCGCGCCCATTTCATCGCGTTTCGATCATCGTGTTTAATCACGCGGAATAATGATCGTCATGTGACGTGAGTACGTCGCGCGCAGGACAACGTGTGTGTTCTCCTTGAAAATATCCCCGGAGACTACGGAGTCGTCGCACGGCTCATTACGACATTGGCCGTGCCAATTGGTCGCACTTGAGAGAACGATCGTAGAGGAGACTCACCTTAAAATCGATGTAGCCGTTTTTGTCCATGTCGAATGTGCGGAAAACGTGGTCGCAGAATTCCTCCGCGTTGCCGGACGGGAAGAACATTTTATACATGTCGACGAACTTAGCCGGTGTTAACCTGCCGTTAGGACAGTCTTGCTGTAACATTCCAAAAAGAAAAGGAGCGACTCGTAAATTCTTCAGTCGATGAAATCTCCCCATATTTATGGGAACAATGTCGGGGAATCAGTCTAGGATATTTCAGGGGAGGGTTTATTTTATTCTCAGTTGAAGCTATTCCTTAAGGGGACTGGAGAGTCAGATTACTGAAGAATCGTGCTTGTGCTTTGATAATGATTTTGTGACGAACTGAACAAATGTGCAAGAATGAAAATTTTACATATATTTATATAACATATGAAGAGTAGAAAAATTTTGTTTTCAAACAAATACTAATATAGATGTACGTCCACTTAAATTTTAAACGCGTTTTTCTCGAAATTTTATTGTTCAACTTTTTGCAGTGATTTCTCCGAAACTGAGCTTCGTATCGATTTGAAATTTTAAAGCAATAATATTCGTTTCATCTCTGGCTCTCAGGTGAACCATGGACAACTCCGTAAAAAACTTTCATTTCGAGATATTAATTTTTTTATTGTAAAAGAACTGAAAAGTTTGAATCTTTTCCTAATAATAGCTGCCATTTTGTTCGATTAATATTGTCCGATTTCTTTTTATAGTGCTTCACCGGATAATGATAAGCCTCCTCAAGATTTTTAGCTAAAATTCGCTCTGATCGGACCACCGAGAGCCGAGATATTACTGCAAAAACGATAACTTGAAAAAAAAGGAGAGTATATTTCAACTATATATATCGTATATTTATACGAGTACTTGTTAATAAACAAGATTTTTCTACTTTTCATATGTTATATAAATATGTGTAAAATTTTCATTCTTGCACATTTATTCAGTTCGTCACAAAATCATTATCAAAAACAAGCACGATTTTTCAGCAATCTGACCCTCCAGTCCCCTTAATCGAACGAAGCTCCGGTGGCTTTCGTTAACTCTGTTATTGTCTCTATCAGCGTGTCTTTATCAGCGTGTAATAACGATAGGTTATTGATCCCTTTGACGTATTCTTTCGTATTCTTTAAACATTTGACCCACCTCTTAAGCCTTTAACTATAGTTACCAGAAATGCATTTAAGAATCTATAACTTAGTCAAAAAGGAGATATTTTCGTTTTCTTTGCACCTGCACTGTAAAGGTGAATTCTTCTTCTAAAAAATGGTATATATACATAGATTCGGTTTAGTCTGTTCAGTTCAGCTCAGTTTTAATGACATGTTTTGTCAAATTCCAAGTAGGCATAGTCAGCATTGTTACTGACATCTAGAAGTGCGCTACGAATGAATAGATTGATATCTGTTATAATTTTATACATTTGGAAACTTTCTCAGATGCAAAATGTGAAATTAAAAGAATACAGAAATTCAAAATGGCGAGTCGAATATAGTGGACAAGAAATCAAGCTATTTTCGTGAAACCTGGTGACCTACAGTTTTTTATACAGCGAAAAATGAAGGGACGATTGACTATCTGTCTATAAGATATTCTTCTGAAATAGTAAGCTCGAAGCTCTGAATAATAAACTTCACTCACAAATATAATAAAGTTTCAGCTCAAAAATGTCAAGCTGACTGAGTCAGAGTTATGTCGCGTATAGATTACTCCAATTCCATTCCGAGTAAATAAAGATCAAGTTCTGAATATGAGCTTTATGTTTCGAGGAATTTTTCCAACCATCGGGTATGATACAAAATTATTAAAACTGAAAAGAAAATTTAGCCGATCAGGCGTATTTTTCGCTTCTGGGAATAGTTTCTGCTGCTTGGAAAGGTAGTCTTTCGTAGATATAAAATTCTGATATTTTTTTTTATTATCACTACTTATAGTCTCAGTAGTCAAGAAGCTCAAATTTTATTCTTAAAACACTTGTAAAAAAGTCGGGCGTTAAAGGGTTGAAACGAAATCGCGAGGAATATAACAACGATATCGCGCACGAGTAAGAATTCTGGACGCATCAAATATAACGATGTCAAGCGGCGGTCGGGTAAATATTCCGCTGAAGCAACATCGGCCCTAAATCGCGAGCTATTTGGCCAAAATGCGTGACTCTCGTTCCAGTGAGAAATCCCACAGCGCCGAGGAGGAGAGACCTCATCTCGCGGCCTCGTCAGGTCGGGCAACTCGCGCGGCAGCTCGAACGAAACGCGTCATTTCGGCATCACAACACCCTCGACGTCGAAACCCTAATCCAGCGCCGCTCGTCCTCAACCTTTTTTCAAACGAAAGCAGGCGCCATCGCGATATTTTTCAATCTCCCCTTGGCCGTATTTTTCCGCCGAGGCCGATACGCGCCAGCGATCAGTCTTCATTTATTTCAATCCGAGTCGGCAAAGTCGCGTGTGTGATTCATTGCGAATCGCGCCGAACGGCGAGGCCGAGAGACGCGACTGGACTGCGGAACGACTCTGGTAACGACTCCGCTTAGTTTAATTAGTACGGGCGCCACGGCTTCTCCGTTGGATTTCGCCTCCGTTTGAATCGTCAAGCGGCCGGAGCATCAAGCGCGCAACTTTTCCGCGCTGCGCCGCGCCGGAAACGCCACATCCCCTTCGCCGCGGGATTCATCAATGCGAGATTCTCTCGCTCGAGACTTCGCTCTCGAGCTGGATATTCACGGGGCAAATATCGCGCGGCGCATACACGAAATATCCAACGGAGTCTCTCTCTCTCTCTCTCTCCCCCCCCCCCTCTCTCTCTCTCTCTCGGGTGCTTTCGGATGACAGTCTCTCACACGGAGAAGAAAGATCGCTTCTACGGAGGAGACGGGATTCCTCAGAATTGAATTTCTTGCTCATAACAGTCAGAAAATCGATTTCCTTCGGTTGGTTCGACGCGTCACATTAATTCAATGTATCTTTCTCCCCGTGCATTTCTATCTTATAACGCTCTACATCACGGTTTGCTCTATCGTCTCGTAATTCCATTTTGCCGTTCGTTACGGGCGGCAGCCGACCTATCTTTGCATCTCCGCGAACGGCGATGTGCAGCCGCGAATCTGCTGATTTAGCGGCGCATGTCACGTTCCCATGCAAAACGTCGGCCTCTTATTTACGTACTTTCATAACCGCGAACCTTCTCGTATGACTTATAACCGCTCTCTTTCTCTCTCTCTCTCTCTCTCTCTCTCTCTCTCTCTCTCTCTCTCTCTCTCTCTCTCTCTACGTTCGCTCGCGAAGTTGTGTGTCTCGCCGAGAGCCGCTTTTTCGCGTTCGACCGCGCATACAAGCGTGCTCGCAAGGCGAAGGAGCATCGTCGCATATTTAACATAGCATAATTGGCAGGTACGCTGACTGTGCAGGAATATTTATTCCGACCGCCGCATTACGACATCCATCGCGTGTATCTATCAACGTCGGCGTATCTACGTCAATTCGTTATTTACATACAACTTTATATTTAGCTGACTAAAGAACCTCGCTCGATTCAGACCAACCGCGTACAGTTGTCTCAATTGTGTATACCATTTTACAAATAATAATAGAAATATTAAATTTAAGAGATTTGACGTTCTTAAACTCTCATCGAAAGCTCTTCTGGCACGATTTTTCAGCAATCTGACCCTCCAGTCCCCTTAAAGATGCCGGCCTACCTCGCTCGGTGGCTCATCATCAGAACACTACTGAGGCTGAAAAATATATATCACTAATGTCCCCAAAAGATATCCGTTTGTCTTCAGCGAGAAATTTAGCACGTCTTAGATGTCAAATGTGTGAAAGAGAGGGAGAGGGGATAAAGAGAATAATCTGGAAATACTTTCATAACTACATAATAAAGGACCATCGCGATAAGTTTCTCGCGTGGCCGTCGATACTCACTTTAAAGCCTTTGTACCATTCCTTTATGGTGGCCTCGTCGTATCGCGTGTGCGACTTGAGGAAGTCCATGTCCTCCTTGCTCAACTTGTCTTTGCTCCCGAAACAACCCATTTTGACACCTGCAACAATCAATAAAACACACCATGAGCGAAGGAGGTCGCGACGGATCTTTCTCGGAGGAAAGTATCTTCCGGAGGACACGAAGCGCAACGGCCAAGGATTCGCCGGTATTTCGTCGCATGTGTACGCAGTTGTGCATTTTTCATAAGCGGCGAGAGCCTCCGATCTCGGATTCCGTACGGATGAGCGATTCCGCCGCGGTATCTCGCCGTTCTTGCGAGCAACGAAACTTTCAGACGTGTTCTCCTTCGAGACTCTCCGAGAACTAGTCATCGTGCGCCGCGCATATTAATGCCCGCGGAATTATGTCAGCGGCATTGAACAAGTTAAGGCCGTAAAATAAGTTGGATGGTGTGTCTTACACGTCCCCCGACTCGATTGTACTCTAGGCTGTGCCCTATATTTCATCGACGACTCGTGTATTCCATCGCGACGACGACGGTGAAAACGACAACGGCGTGGGCGGGGGCGGGGGGGGGGGAGGAGATCGTCGATTCATTTTTCCTCGCTCTTGACGGTTCGCGTCGAGCAAAATAAACGTCCTGTCCGTCGTGTGAAATAACGTCGCGTCATTGTAACTTCGTGAGATACCGCGAGGCGACGAACGCCAAGATTGTTAGTCTCAAAGCGTGCGATGATGAAAATTACATCGCGATAATTATCCTCGGATTGAAGGTGGGTGTCTTCAGATTTTACTCTCGATTGTCTCGCATTATTTCCGTACCTGCTGAAGCCGCGATGAATTACGTAACAAAGTAAGAAGTCGTATAGCCTATTTTATTATCGCGTTAAAAATTGGAGGATCCACTGGCTGGCTCTTTTCCTTAACCCTTTAACGCCCGCTGGTAACTATAGTTACCAGAAACGCATTTAAGAATCCTTAACTTAGTCAGAAAAGGAGATATTTTCGGTTTCTTTGCACCTGCACTGTAAAGGTGAATTCTTCTTCTACGAAATGGTATATAGATTGTATGTAGATTCGGTTTAGTCTGTTTTTAGCTCAGTTTCATGACAACGTGATTTGTCAAATTCCAAATAGGCATAGTTAACATTGTTACTGACATCTAGAAGTGCATTATAAATGAATAGATTGGTATGTGTATTATAATCTTATACATTTGGAATCTGGCTTTCCTCAGATGCAAATGTGAAATTAAAAGAATACAGAAATTCAAAATGGCGAATCGAATATGGCGGACATGAAAATCAAGAAATCAACCTTTCTTCGTGAAACCTGATGACCTACAGTTTTTTATGCGGTGAAAAATGAAGGAACGATTGACTATCTAAATGGTGATCTATAAGATATTATTAAAACTAAAAAAAAAAAATTTAACCGATCAGGCGTAGTTTTCGCTTCTGAGAGTAGTTTCTGCTTGGAAAGGTAGTTTTTCGTAGATATGAAATTCTGATTTTTTTTTGTTATCACTACTTATAGTCTCAGTTAAAAAGAATTCAATTTTATTCTTAAAACACTTATAAAAAAGTCGGCCGTTAAAGGATTAAGAATATTACATTCACCGTCTCGCCCACGTTTCAATAGCGGAGCGAGATGGAATTTTTATACGTTAGTTTCCCGCGTAAAAGAGCAGCGGGAAGAAAAAGGCACCACGCTCTCTTCGTTCGCAAAATGGGCTTTTAATTCTTGCTTTCCCTTTTGCCGGGGAAATTAAAAGGCCATTTTCGTTCGCGATATGCGGCGTGTAGCGGGCAGACGAGAGCAATAATGCACACTCGGCCGGCGGATCTCTCTCGGAAGATCTCTCGCGAAAATATGCGCGTAATCGATCGACCGCGCGCGCGCGAGGATCTGCGAATGCGGCGTGTAAGCCGACGATCGTGATTACGGTTAAACGGAAGCGCTCGCCCGTGATAAGAGGCCGTATGCAATTTTCGCGGTACCGTATGGCGTGCTATTTGCTCGCCGCACGCACACGCGATGCACGCAATGCACGCTCGGCTGAAAGCCGACGTTGCGATACGACCATAACTGACCTGCTGGATATCGAAACAAAATGCGTGACCGAACTGACAATGACGAGTGCCGCGAGCATACACGCGCGCATTTTACGGATGATACATGAGAGGTATGCGCGCTCTCCGGCAGGCTTTCAGGATTAGCCTTAATTCATTCCACGTTCGAGATCCGCTACGGATATCCTATCGATTTTTCGAATTTCGTCTCAATATACTCGGCCATGCCAATAATTTATCTCGCGATCATCCTTTCATGCTGATTTCCTTCTCCGATTTATTCGACAGCAGCTGCCGTTATCCGTGATGAATGTCGGTTTCCGCTACTTAGAGTAGAGTAGTAATTTTTCTTCTATGCGTCTATAGAAGTGCATATTTTGCTACTCCTGAGATTCGCGCGAGTTACAATCATTTGCATCTTCGCTTATTTTCATCACTGAGGTTATCTGCAAAATATCTCCTAAAAATTTGTAAGATTCACCTAAAATGTTCTCAGCGTCACAAAAATCACAAGACAGAGGAAACAAAAGTCTTTCATGGATTACGAGGAGACCCCATGACGAATTCCAGAAAATATATATATTTCCTCTCTATCTATTATTAAAATATAATTTCACGTTTTCATTTCGTCAGTTTGGACAAGTTTTCGGGCGAAGGCGAGAGAAATGTTTGGATTGCCGGGCAACGACGGGTTCAATATCGTTGGCTCGGGTTACCCTTTGCGGGCAACTTCGGTTCACCCTCGACAAAGAGATTTATAATTAAACGTGACTAAAATTACACGAACGGCTAGCGGATAATTTTAGCTGCGAAATTTAATTATAAACCCGAGGGTACATAAAAGGAGGTGGTACACCTCCTCACAGGGTCGGAGTAACACACACGAGTGATGACACTCTGACTCACTTGAAGCCCAATTGGCCGTGCCCGATATCGAGAGTTCAGCAGTTGCATTAAAATAACAACCTCCCGTTAATTCTCCAGCGGTAACACGTGACCGCGTTAACTTCGCCAATGGGACTCGCAATCCCCTGCGAGAACCGGAAAGAGAGCGATAGGCGGAAAGAGAGAGAGAGAGAGAGAGAGAGAGAGAGAGAGAGAGAGAGAGAGAGAGAGAGAGAGAGAGAGGGAGGGAGGGAAGGGGCAGGTTACACATTACGGTAACGGCGAAAAGATGGAGAAAGAATCCGCGAGACTAAAAGGGATCCGATGATATATAATAAGACTCTGGGGCTCTCTATATACGGCAGAGGATTAAGGTAGGATTCAAAGAACTGCGCTAAGGCTGAAAAGACAGCCGGAGAGCCACTGATGGAACATACTCGCGCAAACACACATCAACTGACCGGCGACGTGCTCTCTCCGAAGGATTACGGAAACGTTACTTCTTTCCCCGATTGTAACTTACACAGAGCCCCTTTTATTTGCCGACTCCGCCGCAACAATATCCGGAGCGGCGATTTGCGAGCGAATTCCCCGGCCTTCGCCGAAACTCGACGATCGTCCGCAATCCCCCCGACTACCCGCGGTATCTGCCGGGCTCACTCGAGTTTCCCCAACAGCCCTCAGTTTCCACGACCGCCCAGGTAACTGCTCGCGGCAAGCTCGGTGTCGGCGGTCGCGCGGACGTTGCGTAGACCGCGACGACGGACGCGACGAGGGAATTAATCGCGTCACGCCGCGACGTGGCCGACGCGCGACACGTTAATGTCATAATGAACGGTCGATGCGCGCCGGCGGAATTATGAGAATACGTTCCGAATTGCGGCGGGGAGTCGCGGCTCGTGACCTGTGTTAAAAACCGTCCGGCTGCGTGGTCGGCCGATTTAATGGCCGGCCGACACTGTCCCTCGCTCGTGAAACGCAACACGTGAACGTAATTAACGCGACGCGTTTGCCCTTTGCGGCGGCGACGGCGGCGGCGGCGGCGGCGGCGGCGGCGGCGGCGGCGGCTGCGGCGCCTTCCGACCGCCGATGAAGTCGCGCGCTCGGCTATTTAGGAGATTAAGCACGGGAACGAAGATTAACGGCCGCCACGCTCCGCGAAAGCCACGATGTGTACGTGCCCGAGTTTCGAGAAGGTCGTTGATTATTCCGCGACCGAACTCTGCTTGAGCTAATGCACGTCGCGGTCGCGTTGCCGGGGAACTTAAAATTTCTCGCCCCGGAAAGATACTGTATCCTTGGGGACCTCCTTTCCCTCCCTCCCCCCTCCCCCGCCTTCCTCCCTCTCTCTCTCTCTCTCTCTCTCTCTCTCTCTCTCTCTTGCTCTCCGCGTCTCTCTCTCCCATCGATTCTGCATTTCCAAACGTCGCGCGGCGGTGTCTTAAACTGTCGTTGCGAGAGAAATCAGGTACGTGCATTCGCGGTATCTTAATAGCCGTCTCACGGAAGAGAAGTTAGCGTCGCCGGAAGTTTCGGGAATACCGTGGAAGGACATATAGAGCGTTGCGAATATGCCGGAAAGAAAAGAACCTCCGCAAAAAGTGCCCCAAAAAGTTTTTCAGTCCCCGATTTTTTAATTAAATTTTATGCGAAATGATAGCTCATGATAAGACATTAATCACAAAAAAGTTTGAGCGTACGATTGGATTCAGAGATATAGAGGATCAAAGTGATGAACTACCTACTAAGGAAGTTTGACACTAATAACGTTTTATCGCGCGAATTTTTTGCGAAATTCAGTATCTATGGGTTCTTTGAGTTGTTTATTACGAAGTCGATGTTAGATTTAAAAAATTCAACATGGCGGATGTAATATAGCGGACACAAATAGGGAAACAATTACTTACTTTTATTAGAACTGTTATGTTGTGGTATACTTTAAAACCGATAACTTCAGAATTGAATTTTTAGACAACTTTTATATTATTGGATTTAATGATATGTACTTATAAAGAGTCACGGAAACTGCAATGGAAAAGCACGTCTGCAATGAATAAGCTTCTAAATATAACAAATAAAACTATCACGTTATCCTTTATGCGTCATGTAACGTATCCATTTGAATTTGATATTTTTTTTA